AATCTGACAAATAAACCTAACAATATTTTTGGCACGACTCCAACAGCATCAACAGCGAGTGTTATGTTAACGTAAGTTACTACTTACTACACACTGCAACACACAACGCGCCTGGCCAAGGGAAGCAGAAGACAAGTCCCCTGGACAAGTCAGTCCAGACATTGTGAGTTGCAGGAATGAGACCACCCTGTTTCATTGGGCTTCTCGTAGTGGTTTGGTGGCAATGAGGGATGCAACACTCTACAACAAAGAGTATGATGAACAGGGTAGATGGAATATATTAAATGGAGGGCTCAAATCACAAGCATTTGAACTTTGATAGATCAAAAAACCAACAAGTTAGAAAGAGAACAAAGAAATCTTAAGTCTTTAGGAGCGACGATCACCATTTTCCACAGGCACAAAATGCAGGCTATCCAAGTGCACCCTGGCGTTACCACTGCCCATTATCTTCCAGGGCTCATGAGTGATCTCAAAAACCAATGAAGGAGCCATTGTTACTTGAATGGACATCGCTATAGGGTGTTGTAGCAAATGGGGTGTCCAGGAAGGGTGAATATTTTTGCAGTGCAGGCTCGCCCATTTGCAGAGAACAGTGTAGTATCACCAAAGAGCACACAGACAAAAAACAAGGTGAAGGATGAAGGCACGTTAGATTCCTTTTGCAGGAGACACCACAGGTCCTTCGGGTTTTGTGTCATTTCTATCCTCTTTGTTGTACTGTAAAACTTCATCACATCCAGGACTCTTTGCACGTGCCATGGGACAGTGGCAGCGATTGCACCGTTGATGTCACCACACCTCTCGATGCCATGATTGACAACCTGAAGTCTGTAAGCTCAATTCACCTGCTAAACTCACCAGTCCTAGGCTACAGAAGAGGTCCTCTTCCTTCCTTCCTGCTTCTCAATGGCCCCATAGGCTTCCTCTACCTGTGGGGTAGCTCACGTGTCTCTCCGAAGACAGCACACATGTGCAACACATCAACATCTTGCTTTGTGCCATGCAGTCAGCTCTCTACCTGTGGGGTAGCTCACGCGTCTCTCCGAAGACAGCGCACATGTGCAACACAACATCAACATCTTGCTTTGTGCCATGCAGTCAGCATGCCACGCACACTCCTCCTAAATCTCCCATCCCACAACAGGCCCCTTTCAGTCTCCAAGGAATGGGAACCCAGACCTTCTAGACCTATGGTGAAGAAGTGGCCCCATGCTTTTCCACAGACATCCTAACCAACTAAGGAATTTCTTGGTGATTTCCAAGGGGGATTTCACTTAGATTTGACCTGAAAAACTCCATTCATTATGTTACAACCATCCTCTAATCTCTATGCTGTAGAGATTACTGTAGCATGACCACAAAGTCGAGGAAGAAAAAGACAGAAAAGAAGGAAAGGAAAACCGTGAAGTCCTTTGGCAACCACACAAAGGACATCTTTTCTGCCAGAACCGAGAACAAGGGTGTGATTTATGATGAAAACAAACCTCACTCTCATAAGGAAGTTGTCAGGCAGGAAAAGGGATTTTCAGTAGCTTTAAGAATGAAGTTGAGGAAATTAAAATTTATTTTCTAGGGGTGGAAGGTGAGGAGGAATGAGGTAATGGGGTGCTTAGCCCACCTCAGTCGGGAACCTGATAACTTTTGTTTTACTTGGAGGACCTTGGTAAGCTTTGCAAACAAGCGTGCCGCCATCAAATCAACCATCTGGGTACAAACCAGGGCTGACCGTGTCTCACTGCAACAGGACCTGCAGCTCTCAGTAGGGGATTTCAGTAGTTCACTTCCAGTTGTCCTGCTGGCATCCGCACACCATCATTTCCCATGTCCCACTCACCACCTGTAGGCGCCACATACATCCAAGGCAAGCAATTTCCCAGATCACCTCTTCGGCTCAACTCTTGCAAAGGGACTAAAGCTCCAGGGCCAGAGTTATCCTTCTGTCTTCCTGCACCTTGATTGAGAGAATTGAAACGACCCAGGTTACATTTACCCCCAAGCTCAAAGTTTGCAAGCTCCTTCCCCAACCCCCGTTTATTTCAGCCTGAGGTTCCTATTTTATTTCCAGTCATGGCCATGATAATCTTCCATAAAGCACCCGTGCCAACCCTAATCCAATGGTAACTCCAAGCCCCATGGTACATTCACGGTGGCTGATCAGACCAGGCGATTGCTGGGTCCATGCACTAATACCAGTCTAACTTCAAAACAAATATTTGTAATAAAGCCACTTGATAAGAATTATTTGTAATAAAGCCCTATCCTGGGCCCTGGGTACTCGGCCAGCTCTGGTTTGCAGCACCTCCCTGGGTTCTTTGTCTGACAACGCTTTGGCACATCTTTACGGTTATTTTGGTCTCCTCAAACCCATCTTATTGTAGGAGAACTTGTCCATCCCTCAGGACAAGTTCAGGGGGAGGCACTGCGGTATCAGCAACCTAATGAGTTTGTGTGTCCTCAGGGCAAAGCTAGCCAGGCTCCATCCTTACCAAAAATCACTGCTTTATAGTGCCCCTGTACTCGGTGCTGTGAGGCTGCACCTCGAATACTGTGTTCAGTTTTGGGCCCCTCACTACAAGAAAGATGTTGCATTGCTGGAACATGTCCAGAGGAGAGCAACCAAGCTGGGGAGGGGTCTGGAGCACAAGTCATACGAGGAGCGGCTGAGGGAACTGGGGTTATTTAGTCTGGAGAAGAGGAGGCTGAGGGGAGACCTGATCGCCCTCTACAACTCGTAGGGGAGGTGCTCCAGACCCTTTATCATCCTAGTTGCCCTCCTCTGGACTCTTTCTAGGAGTTCCTCATCTTTCTTGAACCGGGGAGCCCAGAACTGGACATCCCATCCCTGGGGGATGGTCCCCATCCCTGGGGGTATTTAGAAGAAGGATCGATGAGGTGCTTAGGGACATGGTTTAGTGGTGGGATGGCAGGGTTAGGTTAAAGGTTGGACTCAATGATCTCAAAGGTCTTTTCCAACCAAAGTGATTCTATGATTCTATGATCACTGCTTTACAGGGAAGACAGCCCTCCAGTTCCAGATTAGTCCTTCTGGGCTTGCATGTTGCAGGTTTACATGGTAGGTTTGAGCAAAAAAATCACACATCAGAGCTAAAACCACGCCGCGGTCATCCATGGATCTGCATTATGTATTTTCAGGCAAAAAGAGGAGGCTGCACAGTGCTCCCTAACACTTATTGCACCCAGCTGCAGATTGATGCAGTGGAAAAAAAAACATTTCTGAGCTTCCAAATCCTTCTCCGAACACTTTTTCAATATTAAGAAATACTAGAAAGTGGGAGCTTGCTACAGCGCTTCGTTAGTGCCTTGCGTCACCGCAGTCCAAATGCGGCTGCAGGGAGAATGTACGAGCAAAAGCCTGGAGAGGAAAACAAATATCCCTATTTCTGGGAACGCTGCAGCTACAAAACTTTGTTCTCACTAAACTTGTGTGACTTCCTACTTCTTGTGGTTTGTTCTCATGCTGTTTTTAACCTCTTCTCAAACCAATATAGTATTTCTATTTCACGTCCAAAACAAACCAAGGGAAAAAACAGAAAACACAGCACATATGAAAAACAATTGAACAGAAACCTTTTCATTCCCAAAAGGATTTTAGCCACAATTTAGGTCAATTCTTTTCTTTTTTTTTGTTTTTCCTAACGAGTTCACATGTTCCTATTTTAACTTATTACAACAAGCAGCACCGCAGTGCCTCTAAATAAAGAGTAGGCTTTATTTACCCATGAAATAATAAAATTTGGTTTTGGAAAACAAACAAACAAAAAAAACCCCAACAGCTAAATTTCTAGCTAGACAGCCTGCTTTAAAGGTGATTTTTCTTATTCCATTGTCATATTGTCATATTGTCATTTGTCATATTAAGAAAAATGGCCAGATGGGATGAGAAGGGGATGTCCCCCACGCGCTCTGAGAACATGCAAAACTGATGCACGCAGGGAGCAAATATTTTTTAAGAGCTATTGAAGCAGCGCTTCTTTTTCTTGACCCTTTATGCGGGATTTTCACTTCAACCACAGGGGGATCCCACACTTGCAGGAGCCATGCACGTTCCAAAGACCCTTCTGGCTCCAAAGACCCTTCCTGCTCCAAAGACCCTTCCCATTCAGTCCTTGCTAGGCTGGGATGCTCTTACGGACACCCTTTAATTCCCGAGTGCAGACTGCTTGCAGGAGACTGCAAAATTTGCTAAGCATCAGAAGAGAGATGGCAATGAAGGACAGTTCTTCCTGCCACCGTGGACGATTGAAATAACTTATTATTCAAATAACCACTGAACAACAACTACATTTTGATCTAAAAGCAACAGTATCAAGTGAATATGAACCAGCCGCGTTCCCAGCTGCAGCAGTGAGACACATTTCACTCTTCACTGCGTTGATAGATGGAAATAACTTGCTTTCACACACACCTCCCCCCCCCCACACACACACACTTCCCGTGAACCACCCTTCTCGGTAGATGCTAACAGGAGAAGGGCTGAAAAAATTGACAACAGGAGAAAAGGTCCCAAAGGTGTAACTACAGAGGGAAGAGCATCGTCCCCTACGACGAAAGGCTGAGGGAGCTGGGTTTGTTCAGCCTGGAGAAGAGAAGGCTGAGAGGGGACCTCATCAACACATACAAATATCTCAAGGGTGGGGGTCACGAGGACGGAGCCTGACTCTTCTCAGTGGTGCCCAGCGCCAGGACAAGGGGCCATGGGCACAAACTGAAGCAGAAGAGGTTCCAGTTGAACGGGAGGAAGAACTTCTTGACTGTGAGGGTGCCCGAGCCCTGGCCCAGGCTGCCCAGGGGGGCTGTGGAGTCTCCTTCTCTGGAGATCTTCAACCCCCGCCTGGCCGCTGTCCTGTGCCCCCTGCTCTGGGTGAGCCTGCTTGGGCAGGGGGGTGGCACTGGGTGAGCTCTGGAGGTCCCTTCCATCCCCTGCCATTCTGGGATTCTGTCTTCAACCACCTGTCAGGACAAGGAGAAAAGCAATCACAACAGAAAAAAAAAATATAAAAAAATCTCACATTTGGCTCAGGATCAGTATTGCTTTACGCAGAGCCAGTGTCCAAAAAGGCACTCCCCCTCCCTCACAGTACCTCCAAGCTGCTGTTTCTACTCCAGGCTCTGCTTTTACTGCTTATTTCAAACAAACCTTTGCCATTTCCTGACCAGAAAAGTTGCACTTTTAATTCTGTGCTAGAGGCTTTGAAAGTCAAGATACTGCTGCTTTCCACTATAAATAGCCCAGGCTTGCTATGACATCTCCCTGTGACATTTAGTTCAAACAAAGAACAAAAATCTTGACAGGAAACAAACAAAAAAATACCCCACCAGAGAATAAAATAAATAAAAAAACCCCATAAGATAATGAGTTCTTGTATCTCTGGGAGAAACTAATTTCTGGATAAGTCTGTAACCTTGAACAAAGTCCTGGTTTTCAGCCTCTGGGACATGTAGACACCCCATAGAAAGTGCCTGATCCTGATGCTGGGAGGAGGTAGATCTTCTCCATGTGACAGGAAAATCTTATTCCAGCCTCTCTGGGTATGATTTCAAACTATCTCCCAGTGTTATTTTCACGCTCCCAAAAGCCCGTGGCTACCATCCCTCCGAGCTGCCCCGGCAATGGTTATAACTGGTTATAATGGTTATTTCCCAGAGCTCTGGAAGCAGCAGATTTTGCACGGCTTGCAGCTGAAATCCTCCCACCAGCGGGGACTCAAGTCAGAAGCCAAACACCGCTGAGACAAGCGTCACGTCTTGGGCCAGGTTATTGAAACTTAAACCAAAGGTGATTTCTCAAAGAATTTTGTATCACTGGTTTTGCAGCCATCCTGTGGGCATAAGGCTGAAAGGGGAACCCCTCCATGTGTATAAATACCCAACGGGGGTGTAAAGAAGACGGAGACGGACTTTTCCCAGTGGTAACCAAGGAAAGGACAAGAGATAATGGGCATAAACTCAAACCCATGAAATTCCACTTAAACACTAGGAAAAAAAAAAAAAAAAAGAAGAATGTGTGGGTGATCAAACACTGGTTGAGTTTCCAATACGGGAGATTTCCAAAAACCCAGCTGGACATGGTCCTGAGCAACCTGCCCCGGGTCACTCTGCTTTGAGAAAGAGGGTTGGACTAGATGATCTCCAGAGGTTCCTGCCAACTTTGCCGACCACACGAGTGCATGAAGAACCATTCCCAGCCCTTTCCTATATTCAGGTCTTGGGCACCAGGAAGTTTCTTGCAAGGAAGGGATGCGAGCATTCCCATTCTCTCCACGGAGATTATGGAATTTACACACAGCTTTTATCTTCTCGCAAGAAGGATGGGTGATAACAGAACAGAATACAGGTCTGGACTAAACTTACGGGGAAAGCAGCTTCCTGGGAACAAAGAGAATTAAGAAAACAGAGGCCTGAAACAGACACCGAGCAAAAGATACCCCGCACGTGTGCTTGCTTTGCCTTTTATAAAAGGCTGCAATATCAAAGAGTAGCTTGGCAGTTGAGGATTAATTAGTCTGCAGGAAAAGCCTGGCCTTACCGAACATGCAGCTCAAAGGGTTTACACTTACAGAGGCAGTCAACGGCCACGGTGATGGCTACAGACAGACGCGCTGTCCTCTCTAGAGACAACCAGCCTCTTACGCACACCGTATGTACATATTAAAAAAAGCAGCACCCTTCACAGCAATAAAAACCTGTGCAAAGAGACTTCCAGCATCTTTACACGGCCTCTGGCAGAGACCGACATGAAGGAAGTCCTGAAGTATTGGAGTCCTACCAGCCTCCGGGATGGCTCTGGCTGACAGCTGCAAAAAGCTGGATTCATTACCACAAAAGACAGCGATTCCTCAACAGCATTTGCTCCAACGAGTAATAAATTAGGTGCTCACACTGAGAATTTTCAAAGTTTTAGCAAAAGCTCCATGACGGAGGATTCACGCTAGGTAGCTTTGGCATTCAAGTGCCTTGATTAGATGAGCTTCAGAGGTCCCTCCCAACTCAAACCATTCTATGGTCCAAATCCCATACGGCGCCCATGAGAGACTGGCTGACGTGCCCACCACCCTCTGAAGGGTTCAGTGCTAATGCAAAGAGCCCAAGGTTCTAATCCCTCACCTCCAGTTAGAGGATACGAACATCTTTTCTCTTTGACAAAAGCCATTTCATAAAGGCAGCTACAGAAAACGGGATCCCAGAAAATTTCAAAACGGCTAAAAATTTACTGAGAGATGGAAAGCTGAGAAAAAAACCACCAAGATATCACAAAAGCTTCTGTTTTTCAAAAGCAGCCAAGTACTGGGCAAAACCAAAACCAGATGAAGTTCTGAGTAGGACCAGATCTGCAGTAGTATTTATTGGACAATTCTAACAGTCCTGGACTCCAGAACTGATTCAAGGCCATGCTGCTACTCTTCAGTCCCCAATGCTTAAAAACCTCTTAATATTTTTCCTACACCAAATAACTCAAAGATCCTTTTCTCCAGAAATGATGAACAAGTTCCCAGGTGCTCATCATCATATTTACAATATTTCAGCAACTTTTCACCCAGGTATGGAGAAAGGTTGGACATCGGGAAAAATTTCTTCCCCAAAAGGGCTGTCAAGCACTGGAAGGGGCTGCCCAGGGAAGGGGTCGAGTCCCCAGCCCTGGGGGGATTTAAAAGCCGGGCAGACGAGGTGCTTCGGGCCAGGGTTTAGTGGTGGGATGGCAGGGGTAGGGGAACGATTGGGCTTGATGATCTTGAAGGTCTTTTCCAACCTAAATGATTCTATGATTCTGTGATTCTATGAAAGAGGAAAAAACCCCCACTACCGCCGCAAGCCCTCCAAGATCACCAATTACCTCCACTTGCCAGTCATAGTTCTGGCTGCCTCAAGGTACCAACAAGTAGTAGTTTTTTTTTTTTCATCATTTAAAGCTTTAAGATACCAATGCAACTGTCTGGTTTCATTGCCACTATAGGAGATAGGAGGTCCCTGGATTTCAACCTGCAGCCTTTGTGCTTGTTGGAGGGGAAAGACTCGACAGAAAACATGACACCCCTTCGTAACCCTAATTACCATCAGTCTTACTATTGCTTTTTTTTTTTTTCAAGTTCCCATTTCTATACCTCTATTATGCCCTATGCCTTTCCATTTCTATGCCTCTAAAACGCCCCTAGTGACAATTTCTTCTTGCACAGGAACCCATAAATACATCTTAAGGTATAGAATCACAGAATCGTTTGGGTTGGAAAAGCCCTTTAAGATCATCAAGCCCAACCATTACCCTAACCCTGCCATCCCACCACTAAACCATGTCCCTAAGCACTTCCAGGTGCTTCTTCCCTAACTCTTTGATAAGGTGTGCAAAGCTCCAAAGTTACCATAAGCTAGGTGTTGCATTTCTACTGGAAGAAATCGGATTCGCAGATGGCCATAGGTTTTCAGGACAGACTTTGGGTAGGGGAAAAACTCTTCAGCCCCGTAGCATGGAAGGAAGCTTTGCACAGGCTGTTGGTAACCACTCTTCATGGTTTCCATCAAACCTAGGGAAAGGAGCAAGTCCTAAGCCCAGCACAGACACGCAGGCACTAAACGTACTGTTTTTCCAATACAGGCAAAGCTCTGAAGAGTCTGATTTTTCTGCCTCCTTATATTAAATTATGATCAGTCTTCTCTGGATTGAACATTGCCAAGCTGAAACCAGCCGCCCTTGCAGGGTACCTAGAGGGATTCACAACCAACCTCATCACACAGACAGGCTGCTCAGGGGGGCTGTGGAGTCTCCTTCTCTGGAGATCTTCAACCCCCGCCTGGATGCTGTCCTGTGCCCCCTGCTCTGGATGACCCTGCTTGAGCAGGGAGGTGGCACTGGGTGAGCTCCTGAGGTCCCTTCCAACCCCTGCCATCCTGGGATTCTGGGATCTGTGAAACCCTTAGACTTCAGCAACTATTGATCCACTACAGACAAAAGCACATAGTCTTAAGTTTCCCTGACTTTTGATTTTTTTTAAAGGTCTTTGGTGTCTGTGTTTTTTTTTTTTAAATCCCATCTATTTAGTCATGCATTCTCTTCAAAGGGTCCTCCACACGCAAGGCGATACTCACAGCTGCAAGTAGCTTCTGGTTTTCCATTTTGCCCCAAAATTTCAAAAGCTCATTTTGTCAGTGGGAGAAAAGACTAAGGCTGAGAATACTTCTACCTCTATGGTTAAACCTTTTCGGAAAACACGTAGTCCTCTACGACTGCACCACCTTCACATCACTGCGCATCACTGCTCCCTTGTCTCGGTAATTCCTCTAACTGTGTCTTGCCTCCTTAGCATCCTTCCGTGAAAATTCACATCCATACTACTGCAGTGCCGGAGCACATCTGTTAAAATATGAAGCGACCCTTTAATGCTCTTCTACCAACTCATCCACAGCTTCCTCCTAAGTTACAAGCCTACTACCTGCTAATTCTATGATCCTACCTATGATTCTATGGGGGTTGGACTAGATGACCTCTAGGGGGCCCTTCCAACCCCAATCATTCTATGATTCTACGACTCCAATTCCTAGCACCAAAGACTTGTTATCCCCGCCATGGGTCACCTTTCTTCCATTCCAAGGAGGGAGATCAAATTCATTTCAGGAAGGAAGATGCAGCTTCTTCGGGAGAAGGGATATGCAAATGTTACCTTACACACTGATGTTTTATTTTTAGCAGCCCGGTGATATTTTTAAGGCTGCCAGGAGCAGGTACACAGCTGCAGTAGGATGAAGGAAGTATCCCAGGGGCAGGTATGAAAAGCCTGCACATCTGCAGGGCAGAAGGAACAGGCAGCGCTGCCTGGAGTTCACAAAAAGGGGGACAAGGCCAAATGCTCCGTAAGTTGTCTTATGGTTGTTCTCAAAAATCAAGTAACTAGGAAAAAAAACCCAACATCTTGACCCTAAATTTCAGCTCATCTTGTATATTGCTCGTTATTAAAAAAATTTATATGGGTGAAGTGCAGGAACATGCAAATTAAATAAGAGAATCTGAAAAAAAAAAAATCAGCTCAATCTGGGAAAGCATCAAGAGAGGAGTTTCGAGAGCGAATGCATCGATTACAGAAGTCCTTTTTCTGAATATCTTACCTGACCCCTAGATACCCCCACCACGTGCTTCAGTTTGCCAATCTGAAAACCTCTCCTAGCAACACTGAAAGCTTTTGTGTTCTTTAAGAGATCGGCTGCCTTCAAGGAAGTGTCAAAGAGTTCACTGCAGTTGTTCGTGCCATTGCTGTACAGTCATCACTAAAGATGCCAACGAAAGTCTTACATAAAACATGGGAATAAATTGGATCAGAGCTCAACAATCTGCTTAATGCATTAGGAGTGTCGTGTTCACCTTGTGCCATTTCTTAGCATCCTTTTTTTTGGCTGGAGAGAGCATATGCCTTCACCTAAACCTGGAACCGTAACTTAAGGCAAAGTTCTTGGGTAAAAGTGCTCAGAAAAAAAATCTTGCTCTACTTCATATCCTCATGGCCTTTCAGTGGTAGATAGGCCAGGGACACTCTACTGCGAGACCCCAGGTGACAATGAAAATTTGATACAAGCCAGAGGAACCGCGTGCCATCTGCTTTCGGCTTTTCGTAACTGTGTACGGAACACGACAGACCGTGCCGTACGCCGGCACCTGCGAAGCACAACGGACTGTCCAACCCCACCAGCAGTAGAATCTGGGGCAATAATCTCTTTTTGCCATTCTGTAGCAACCTGGAACTTGCAGGACTTAGATCGTAACTTGGTCACTCTTGTTGGTCACCATTATCTCGCTAAAACAAGAGTAACCGCTCCCAAACATCTATCAAAACCTGAAACACCTAGAATGGCATGCTGAGAGGGTTGAGTTTTGTTGGGGTTTTTTAACTACAGAAAGAAATATGCTATGTTTCATTTAATATATATTATTCTCTTCCATCCTGAGCATTAAGTACAGCAGAAACTAAACCAATACCTATTCCAACATCAAAGTAACGCAAAAATAATGAAGTTTCCTACCCCGCTATTCCGGCATTTGCGCGTTGAATTTATCAGGACACTTTCTCCACCACAATAAACTACATTATTTTGGAACTAATGCTGATGGAAAAGAAAACAGAAGGCGGAGGAAAAAAAAAAAAGTGTATGAAAGTCATAGGGACTTAAGTTTATAAATTAACGGAGGTTGGATGAAAAACCAACAGCACCATCTATGGGTTACTCTACGTTCTCACATAGGTGGATTCTCAGGACAAGGAAAATAAATGGGTTTTTAGGTTTTGTATATTTTGTTTGAGTTCCTCTAGTTGGAATTCAATCTTAACTACAGGATTGACAGTAAAATCACAGCTTAAAAAAAAAGACTTGACGCAAAAAGCTGTATTAGGCTTTGGAGGAAATCTACTTACAGTAGTACTTCAGCACCAAAAAGTGGGCAGTTAGGCTGATAGATGTATATACAATTAAATGATATGTCAAAGTCTTAAAATGCTTAGTTATTTATAATGAAATCTATACAAAACAGTTAAAAACGTGTTTTTATATACATTTGGAAAAAAAAAAAAAGTATTGTCTTCATTAGCAGAATGTATTAAAACTGGTTCTCTTATCCCATCCGAACCCAGACTTCTCTCTGTGGCTTGTAACCATCACAAAACCCCAATGTATTGCTTCAACAAGCCAAGTCGTAAGGCTAATTTCCGAAACCTACCACTGTATACCGATTTAAGCTTTTAAACTCCCCCGACGGTCGCTTTAAAAACAGCATGTAAGAGTAAAATACAGATTTTTAAAAGCCTTAACTCACTTCTAAATTCGGAGGTTCAACTTGGAAAGACGCTGAACCACATATCCCCAGTTTTGAAAAACTGATTTGTAGCAAAACACATCATCGCCCCCCCCCATCTGTATTAGAATTAACACACCTGCCTGTTTCACAGGAACTTTTTAAACTTGGCCTCACTTTAAATTTTATATTTAAATAAATAATCAAAGATTAACTAAGGTAGATGAGCATTTAATGTGCTTATGGCACAAAGAAATGCCTCATATACTGATACCCTACTTCTGGTAAAGCATGAAAACAAAAATCCACTAGCAAATCCACTTTGCTACCAGTTAGTGATTTTGCTTATTTCCAAACATTCACCAACAAGAATTTTAAAAAAAATAAACTATATTTTTAGGCTTATGAAAAAAAAAAAAAATCTTAACTCTAAGTGAGCACAAGTGCAAGAAAGCGAACCAATTCCAAAATTCCTGGGGCTTTTCCAGCACTGTCAGAGACACTTTTTCTCTCACATGCTATTTAAAAATACAAATATTTATTAAACATTCTCTTTTTTTTTGTTTGTTTTTGATGGTGTTTTGCTCAACAGCTAACAAAAAGACACAGCAAAATAATGAACCCTTTTCACTGAAAGCTGTTTCAGTATCTGGGCAAGGGCTTCAATCGCACGAGCTGTAGAATTCGCTGCAGATTTGCTTTTTAACAGGAGTACATTCCACTGTCACAGGTTTACTAAATCTTGGTAACTACATCTTTTTTTTTTTTTTTTTTTTTTTTTTTTTTCCTTTTTTTTTTTGGAAACAATTTTTAAGATGCAGCTTTTGCAATACCGTCTTGTTAAAACACACTGATGCTTCAAGGGTCCAATGAACAACTCTAATAGGCAAAGTGCTCTAAAACATCACAATACGAGGGCATCTTGGATACTCAAAATCCCAAGATATTTTAAAGTGCACTCCAGTGTCCCAATTCCTTAGGATTGTTCAGCAGAACTTCGAGAGGGGCTGGGCTCAGTGCCGTCCTCAGTGCTACTGTCCACATCTTGCTCCATTGCCGTCTCCTCGTCATCGAGGCACTGACTGGTGAAGTTGTTGAGCTCCAGGAGCCCGCTGGGTTCCACTACCACGTTGGAGCTGGAGTGACAAGGGATGGAATAGTGAGGGATAGTCTGAAAGAAAGAAAAGACGCAGGTTTTAACACGCATCGTTTGCACGGGTAAAGGCATCTGCGCAAGCGCAGGTACTCATGGAAAAGAGGTATTGGGTTTCCAAGAGCAACGTTCCCTAGCGAAGGCCCGTTGCGTGTTACGTTACGTTAGCCAACGCTTCAAAGCACCTTTCCACCGGATTAGGTTGTGAAAGATAAATTTTGAACAATCTTGCTCTTAAGGCACTGGTCTTGGCCTTGGATCTTCACTAAAGGTCTGTGACAGCGTAACCAACAGCTAAACCACCAATGCCCACCATCCATCCTTCCTCAAATGCAAAGCAGAGATAATAATTTCTTCAGCCTTCTCTTTTTCTTATTTTTTTTTTTTTCCAGACAAGACATTCCAATGTAAGGACAAGCTGTTTTCTGTATACAGTACAAGCTCCGGCCCTGCTCAGAGCTGCAGCAGCATAGAGGCTGAGGAAACACAACGCATCTAAGCTATTTATTTCTGCTTATACTTTCACAGGTTCTAGAAACTAAATCTACAGCTTTATACAACTGAAATTCTGGGCAGTGTTTTACTTTTGAAACAGCTCGTAGCATGCCACAACAACAAACAGATTCTCAAAATATACAGATCTGAAGTAAAATAGAAGTCTACCTTTGTCTATTTAGGGAAACAAGGACTAAAAATGAGTACAAAAATGATGATTTCTACAAAAGCAAAGTTAACTGCAATGAAGATTTTTACAAAGCATGAAAAGTTAAAAAGCTCTGTACACAAATTATTTCCCCACATCAGAAACATTTTCACTGTAACACAAATATGATATACAATAAAACCATTTCAAACCACGCCATCATTTGTGTGAACATATAGAACGCCAGCTTGTCTACAAAGATTCGTAATTATACCACTATGAGTCCTCGGATGAGTTAAACACTTCCTCAGTCGACATTCTGACCATGTGTTACATCATAAAACATCGTATTTAAGACAGAAGAATCAATGAAAATATCAATCATCAGTTAGGCAATGACTCAAAGCATTTAGGCTGAAGAACAACAGTCATTTTATCTCAGAAGTGGTAAGACTAGTTACAGGTGAAGTCAACAAGCTTTCTTCTGAATCCAGACCTTATTTGCTGAACTTTCCCAGTAAGAACAACCCCACTACTTCATTTTTTTTTGCACTGATTTTATACTCAGAGGTAACATTAATAGATCCCATAAATAATTCTAGATCATAGTTCCATAGCGAGTGGTGACGGTCACATTTTTAAGCATTTCAAATGAGAATACTTCGTAAAATTAGATAAGCTTGGTTTGTTTGCTTAACAGAAAAAAAAAAAAAAAAGGGAAGACGCTGGGGCCACAAGGGAATGATACAGTGCTAGGGAAACTCGAGCTCAGTTTAAGAATTACACACTTCGAAGCAGTAATCCATTACAAGCATGAGAGTAGAAAAAGAACCAAAAACTGCAGAAGGAAAACAAAAATACCCGAACATCGTTCAGTTGCTATCATCACATTAGACACGAGTTTGTTCTGCTCAACCTTTGCCTTATTTGCTCTGGTCTTCTCTTACCTGGATAACAATTTCTGATGAACTCTCTTCAGCTTTCTTTTGTGATATATTCTGAATGTGTATAAACTGGTTTGTTGTAGGCATTCCTTGTGCATCGAGTTTCCTCTCTGTTAAAGTAGGACCAACAGCAGGAGGACTGGAACTGGATTCTGCACGTGTCTGTTGCTGGGGGATGGAAGTTGCCGTCATCCCTACTGCAGTCACCCTCGGCACCTGGGTACAAGGTGACGACTCTGCTTCGCTAGCGAGCTTACTAGTGGACATGGCCTTGTTTGGGGGATCCACTATCGTATGTTCTACGTTTGTATCAATCTGAGCTTCCACCACAGACACTCTCAAAATATCTGCTACTGCTGTCTTCGCGGATGCCTGCATGGGAAATAGGCTGGTAACCGGCAACGCCAGTTTGGGCACAGAACTGCCACCTGCTACCTTTGAAACAGAAGGAGGCTGACGCCCCTCAAAAGTTATCTTTGTAACAGTGGATCCTTGCGTGATAATTGGATGCTGCACCTGAAAATCAAATTTTTGTTGTGCATGTTACAGCTAGATTTTTTTTTTTTTTCAATTGAAAATCTAATCAATATTTCCAAGGACAGTATGGCACAAACAACATACTTGCTATTAGGAAGACAGTTGAAACTCAGTGTTTTAACAAAGGAATTAGCAATGATATGGTAAAAGTTAATTGAAGCCTGGGGAAAAGCAGCTTTTTAGGCTGCTAGATAAGGATTGTAGCAGTATAATACCACAGCAGCCTCGTTTTCCTTTGGGATTTACATCCCCATGTGATGTTTGTTAACGCTCGTTTTCACATGTATTCCTGAAAGGGCCAAAAAAAAAAAAAAATAAATTGTACTTTTCTGGAGTTAGTTAAAATATGTTTTGGGGTTTTTTTTTCCACATTCCTCAGTCTTTACATTTTTCCCTCCCAAGGAAAATCAAATTACTCCTGTACATGAAAGCCATATAACTTCAGGAAGATGTAAACTACAAAGGAAGACGTACAATGGAAAGCCTTAGGAGACTGCAGTGTATTCATCTTTATTTCCACAGAAATAAAAGTGCTACGGGAACGGAAATTAATAACTTGCCATCTCTAAAAATTAAAAGAAAATAATTAGGGACAAATTCCATGCACCAGTGGTGGCAGAAATTCATAAAAACTGTCCAACAACACACGTTTGTGAGCTCTATGGATTTTTCCCCTATAACATGTGCTTCTCTTTCCTAGTGTCAACCTTCTGATGGGGTAATTAATACCAGCAGAATGAGGAGTCCTCTCTTGCCAGGACAAAACACTGCTACAGCAACAGGGTTGGTAGTTTGATTTTTTTTTTTTTTTTTTTTTTTCCTTGAACAGCGACGTGTATTTTGCATGCTATCAATATTCCGTTACCTGGCTTGCTGGCTGTTTCTCTGAAGAGGCAGGTAGCTGCATTTGACTCTGGGGGGGTTGGGGTTGCACGTAGATTTTTTGTGCCGTTGGTGCCTGTTGCAGTTTGGGCAGCTGCTGCGTGGTTTTTACTGCAAGCACCTGTACTACAGTTTGCTGTGGCTGTGCCACTAAGGTAGGGAGTTGCCTTTCTTTGGCCATCATGTGGTGTGGGGGGTGCTGTGCATCTGGTTTGGTCTGTGCTTGCTCTTGCTGCAGGGGGGTTAGCTTTTGATGCCTTATAGAAAGCTGGGGCATTTGTGGGAGTTTGTGCTGGATTTGGTCGGCCTGCAGGTGGATTGTCTGCTTCTGCTTAGTCTGGAAACACTGCAGAGTTTTCACTTGCAGTTGAGTCTGTTCCAGCTGTGGCTGACTCAGTTTTTGCTGTTTTTGTGTCTGCGATTGTGTCAGGGCAGATCTGTAAAACAGGCCAGTCTGAGGATCTAAGGTGTCCATCTCTTCCACTTCTCCTTCCTCAGTTCCAAGTTGTTCACTGTGTTTGGTAAATGCAGTGTGACTGCTTAAGGCCTTAATAAAAAGAAGTTAGAGCATGTTAGTAGAGAGAAACGTAAATTATAAGAATACACAATCTAAAAATAATTTTTAATAATTTTCAACTGGACTACATTAACTTATTTTACCATTACAGACTCCCAACTAGTGTACAAGGAGACACCCCTACATGGCGATTCCACAATACGTAAGCAATCAAAAGCTATTTTTGTCATGCCAAGATGCGGTACATCTCTATATGACAATATCAATTGCACAGCTAATTCTCAGCAGAGATGATGTAGCCCTCGCCTGTCTCAGGCTAACGTTCAAAGCTCCTAAGGTTGCACGCCAGTTGGACGTGAAGCAGCAGGGATTAGCAGGTGGTTAAACCAGTAGCTCCTCATTAATGCCAGTCTCTCTGCACAGTAAGTTCTTATTCTGCCTCCCGAGAGCCTAATCATCATCTCCCCAATTTCTTCTGCAGCTCCCCATATATCTACAGTCTACCCTACTTCAGCAGAGACCCTTCTCTTCTTCTTTCCTCAAAATTTTGCTATTTTTCTTGGGCATTGCATAAACATTTATTTTTTGAGGGATTTGAGGGAGCAAGAGATCTATGTTACTATGCTTTGTGTACCATGATATAAACATTTTAATAAATGGCCTTAGCAAGATGAAGCAGCCTACTCAAACACCTGTGAAAATACACTCTCTGAAGTGGGTTTATAACCCTAACACAGCACTGTCCTGCTCCACAGCTGAAGCTCCTAGAAGTCAAAGCACTGCAAAGTTGAGCAGGTCTTGAACAAAGGCATCGGAGTAGCTTCGGTAAGGTTTCACCACAAGCTATGCCGTCTGTTTGAAAGTGTTTGGGATCCCTGAGGTACTCATCTAAATGTGAGCTCACTTTTTGATTCGGAGAAGTTTGCCTATTCATAAACTAAAGCTCTCAAATGAAAAAGACACTGCGTGCTCTGGGTACTGACCAGATTCTGCTTCATCCCTCTTCCCCCTACACCGACACCAACATAATCTAAAGAGCCTAGGACCTTGCAATACAACATACAGAAAAAAAAACAGCTTGCTGCTGTTGAAGGGATGACATACAGACAGCAAGAACTCATCTAGAAAGCACTGTCTTTTCCAGAGATGCTGTTAATAACTCTTACTTAACAGTCTCAAGTATATCTCATGAATTGCTTCCCCTTTCCCCCACCACCCTCACCATCAAAACAGGCAATATTAAAATTAAGTTATCAATTTGCCCTTACACTTAGCATTTGCAGTGGCAGCAACATGACATATTCATTCAGAACAAGCCCTGGTCCTATGTAATTCATAAAATAGAGTATTGGGAAAAGAAAGGGTACAACCTGCTGCATGATATGGGTAATTGCGCCTGTGGAGGATGCAGGGAGAGATTTCACCACCACAGAAGTCTGCGTTGCTGTCTGCGACTGAGCCACATGCTGCAGCAGGGTCCTCTGGGGCTGAGATGACTGCTGGTGGGGCTGGGACCGATGACTGACTGCAAGTAAAGAGGTCAGTGGCACTTCTCCAGAACTAACTGCAGTTAACTTCAACTATTTGCTTTGCATTTGAGCTTCGACTGAAAGCACGTATGAGTTAAATAAAGATCTGAGTATGAAAAACATCTTTTACTGTATGCCAGCTTCAACCTTAAAGTGTAAATCTATTCTGAGAAGCCTCGTAGAGTAGCAACTCAGGGGTTTTGCTTTTGTCTCTGTTTCCTAATTAATCACATTTGGTCCAAACCTCCTCTGGCCTCCCTCTCCCAACACACCAACTTTGCAAGCAGAATTTATACTCTGTTTTCAGCTGGATTCTTTATACAGCACCAGCATAACACTGTAGAGCACAAGTCACTCTGTGGCTTTTATGCTGTTAAAAGCACCTGCACAACTGACTGCAATTAAGAACATCAAGCCTCACTCACTGAATTTCTGCCACTGATAAACTGCAAGAGATCCTCTCCAGAGCATAGGCTAAATTTGAAAGATTAGCAATTAGAAAATGTTTGGGTATTATAAAAGCAAGTGAGGCTGATCAGAAATCAGAGACCAAAAAAAATTGAGACCTTGTCATGGGTCTGTGTTACTTCTTAGAACAGATGCAGCATGAGTTATGGAGCAATAGTAATGGCTCCGTAATTAAATAGGGGATTAACACAGAAATGATCTGCTGAGAAAAAAAAAACCATTCTACATTGCAGTCACTGATAAGACATGAATCTAAGTTACTTTATGCCTGTCCACACTAATTTGTAAATATTTGCTTTAATTAACTTCTTAGTTACGAAATAATTAATAACTGAAGGAGAACAAGCAAAGTTTAAATTCAGTTGTAACATAACTTAAAAAGTTTCTAGTGACCTTCCTGGAAGTTAAAAGAAAGGTCGTACTTTGAATTACTACAATAATTTGACTTTCCACTCCAAGAGAGGAGTTGGATTTTATCAATACCAGCCTGCATGCTGTGCCAGACCCGTCATGGATATCCCCCAACAGTTCCTGCACAATTGAAGACTTCATTTAAAAATAAAGTTTCTAACCTATATGGTTGTGTAGATATTCTTCCGAATGTGAACCAATACAGTGTTGTCTTCCTGAGTCTGCAGACAGACAAAAAATGGTGACAGCAGGATGTGTGATCATCTCACGAGGAAGCACATGCTGAATCCCAGCTCCCATACAGATTAAAGTGTGCCCTAACCTTTGGTCTAGGCGCATGCAGGAGTTTTCACAACAGATTATAGACCGTGCACTATCTTACGACTGATTTTTTTAGCAGAAAATATAGCTACATGGAGTACTGATGAATCCTGAGAAGCATAAATTAAAACAAAAACACAATTACCTGCATTCCCTGGCAGTGTTCACAGAAACTGGGGGAAGGGACAAAAATCTAAGAGCAAAATAACCAGAAACCGCTGCTAGTCAACCCACAGCAGCCTGCATTTCTCTGGCAGATTCCTGTGTATCAACTCGAGGCTTATAAAAATCCCAATATTTCAAAGAGTAATCATAGCTCAAGGAAATTTTGAACTTGTGCGTATGGCTTCTAAGGACTTAAATCTACAAAGATACCAACTGTAATTTCCCATCCTCCCTGCAAAGGGCCCGACTTCACATCAGCTTTTAGAGCCAGACCCAGCAAAAACTGGAACTTTAAACAGAAGCACAGTGCACAGTATCTGTGTCAGGGAAGATAACTGACTGTTAATTGGAGATCACTTGAACACTATTTATTATACTTTTGAGTTTGTTTTAAAAGAGATCCAAGGGAGCATGACTCAAACATTCAAAATTGAAGCCAGATACAGTAAGTGGTATTTAAAAGAATAACAATAACTTTCCCCCCAGCTCCAATTTCACACAACTTAAAGCTAGACCATACAAGGGATGGAAGCAAGGGGAGGAGGTACAGAGCAGGAAAATGAAAAATGAAAATATCAGGTTAGACATTTAACACTAGAAACACTGGAATTACTGATATGTACTTAGACAATTTAACATAATCAAGCTTTACTTCTCTTTTCCAAAGCCAATTTTCAATCCACTTTTGCTTTTCCAAATAAAGCAGGGAGACCAATAATGTGGACTTCAGAAATGAAAATGGAAAGCAGGTGATTTGATCCTCTCACATACGTATGGGAAGAGGCTCACATGTAGTGTTCTGGGGCAGCAGGGACCATCAGAGAGACAAGGGAGGCAAGGGCTTACACAAAATGGACAACCAGATAGGAGTAGTCGAGGGTTTAAAAAAGTAAGAGCTGAATCCCAAACATAATATCAATTTGAATAATTTATTTCAAGAGTGAAAATTTATCAGTTCAAAGATTTCTTAGCAAATGAAGAAACAGGGGACTACATTAGCATGCTAAACGCACACATGGCTTAAAAACCCACTGGTAAGAAAGTAACATTTTATGAATATGGGTTAAACTAACTCATAGTCTGACTCCACTCGATACGTACAAAAAAATAGTACACAGTTCCTGTAACTTCATTTTCTACTTTTTTCCTTACTAGACATTTTCCTTAAAGGCAAGTGGGACAGCCTGTCCTCTCCATCAGATCAGGGAACAGAAAAATCCATTCAACTAGGACGTCTTGAAGCAACAACCCTTAGTTTCAGTTAGAAGCATTCTCCACTATGCTCCAGAAAAGCAGATGCAATCTCTGTCCCCTGCGCAGGGTCTCAAGAGCAGAAGGAAAGACTCATCTCCCCAACAGCAAATTACAGTGAAACACAAAAATGAAACCCATTGTAGGACAAATCCAAAATGAAGTCCCCAGACTTCAACTGCAAACCCACTATATCAGGCTACCTTTGTCACTTACCAGTTGTGATATATTCAGCAACTAATTCCGACTCGACTACAGCAATTGAAGGACTTTCTGGAGAATGCCTCTTTTCTTGGGTCATCTGGATTGGGACAGCCATTTGGCTCAAGTCAATGGTAGGCTGCCTTGGCTTCGATTCTAACTTTTCCTTCACTGCTTTAGAAGAAAAGAAAAACATAAAATAAATCTCCAATATCTAAACCTCCCTAATAAAATAAACCTCCACCATAAATGCAGAAGTTTAATTAAGTAGATAGTGAGCAGGATAAGAAGGAATCAAGCTGACTCAAGATAGGTGCTTTTCAATTATAAAACTTATTACAAACTGCTGCTTAAGCAAGTCATAACTTTGAATATATCCTAAGCAACCGCATGTGTTTTCACACCTGTAGTCTGCTGAAGTTCCAGCAAAGCTTTTATGGTGGAAGTAGCTGACTGAGATTCACTGGATACATCCTGGTAAATTATTGTAGGGCTTGTGTCCACAGCAATTTCGTGTTCTGACCAATCTTGACTTCTTGAAGCGATCACGTGGACTACTGGCTGAGAATCTGTTTGTAAAAGAACAAAGGCACATCAAGTCATCATAGAACCATTTTGGGTTGGAGGTCTCTTGTCCAAATTCTTGCTTTAAAGCAGGGCTATAGTTCAAAGTCAGACCAGGTTACTCACCACCCATTACCATTTTGAACACTGCCGAGGATGCATACTCTTATTCTGCAAAGCCGCAGCTTTTATTACAATTCACTCTTGAAATAAAACACTGCTGATGTTATGAATAGTTTCCAGCGAAAAAAAAAATAATCCTGTACCTTAGTTGTTTGTAAAAGCTATGGTTTGAACAAAGAAAGTTCAACAGGTTTCTTTGTATGTTGAATTTGCCTTGGATTGAACTCTTTTTCAGAAGGTTTTAGCAGTTCAGGTGATCAACACATATTCAAAATTCCAAATAAACAGCTCCTAAATTTTGGTAAGTTGGTTGAATCTTCAAAACTTTTAAAAATTTACTTAAAATGGCAATATAGACTAACAGTTACAGAATTATACAGAAAAGGTGACTGAAAGAATCATAGAATCACTTTGGTTGGAAAAGACCTTTGAGATCATCGAGTCCAACCTTTAACCTAACCCTGACATCCCACCACTAAACCATGTCCCTAAGCACCTCATCGATCCTTCTTTTAAATATCTCCAGGGATGAGGACTTGACCACCTCCCTGGGCAGCCCATTCCAGAGCCTGGCAACCCTTTCGGTGAAGAAGTTTTTCCTAATGTCTAGCCTAAACCTGCCCTGGCGCAGCTTCAAACCATTCCCCCTCGTCCTATCATCTGTTACCAGGGAGAAGAGGCCGACCCCCACCTCCCTACAGCCTCCTCTCAGGCAGTTGTAGAGGGCGATCAGGTCTCCCCTCAGCCTCCTCTTCTCCAGACTAAATAACCCCAGTTCCCTCAGCCGCTCCTCGTATGACTTGTGTTCCAGACCCCTCCCCAGCTTGGTTGCTCTCCTCTGGACATGTTCCAGCAACGCAGTATCTTTCTTGTAGTGAGGGGAGCTAAGGCTAAGAACACACTGACAGACAGTTGGTTTTATTTGATGCAGTGATACACCCCATGGTCACTCCTGACCAAAGGCTGGGTGTTATTTATGCCCTATTATTTATCCTCCTCTACCACACAAAGAGCTTGAAGCCATGGCAGCATCCCCATCAGGACTGCGTGTCTGATGTATGTCCTGATGCACATGTACACGCCTACAAAAGGACCAAAATTTATGTTGGTCACACCACAGCTTTCAGTCATGCAGTGGGGAGATTCTTCAATACACTCAGGAAAGAGGGTGGCAGAGCATGGGCTACCAAAAAAACCCCCCAAACTGCTACACTGCCTACCTCTGGCAGACTCCCCAAAAAGAGGGATCAGGCTGCAGGCCACAAGCATTGGAACAGCAAGTCACGAGTCCAGCAAGAAACCATTATCTCCACTTTTCACACAGGAAATGGAGGCATAAAGTAAATAGCTCATAAAAGATAAATAATGCCATAAGGGAAGTGAAAACCTGTGCTAAAAGTAGGCACAGTGAGGTATAAGAAACTAGCTAGGAGGCTTGGGAGACAGTCCATTCATATTTTATGCAATGTCAATACACACCTTGGGAGCTCTGGGAGGACTCTGTAGAAGAAGAGCTGCTATCAGTGTAGGTTTGTGGTTCTTCTTTCACTTCTGGGAGAGATGAGTTTCCTGTCTCTGCTACCCTTGATGCCTGCTGTAACGTTTCAGTCACCAACTGCCTAGTTTGTTCACTCACAACTGTTGCTTGAAATGTCACTGGCTTTGGTTTTATGAGAACCTGATGAGAAAGACAAATTTTGCATACAGTAGGAGCACTCAAGAAAACGCATCTGAGCAATCAGAGTACAGGGGGCCACTCAAATACATCAATGTACAAGCCCTATATAATATTCAAAATTTACTGAAAAAGTCTACCTGTAAATTCAGCAGCTCTGATTATTAAACCACAAAGCCCAGGCAATACACAAGGATGTACTGAGTAATTTGGTGTACTTAATACAATAAACCACTAAAAAGTCATTTTTCAGGGCTGAATACAACTATGGTCTGACAAGAGGAAGCTATGCAAGTGAGCTGGAACATGCATGGCACTAATAAGAACAAGCACCTCTCTTCCGCAGCCCACAATAAATACAGTCTTGAACAATCAAGACACACAAAATATTATATCTGATACAAGTTTAGTTCTTTTAAATACTAAGTGCAACCAGAGAAAAAGCTGAAACTGAAAGTGTCCAGAAATAAGCCAGATTCTCTGTATACAGCCCCACCAACTACACAAGGTTGCAGGGACAACCTGAATATACATTAACCAGAAAATAACTTCAATAAAACCTCAGATTTAACAGATGAACTATGTTCAGGCTCTGTGTCGTTATTTCTCACGATCTAGCCATTAGCTGCAAGACTTAAACAGGCATCTAGAGCCATGACCAGGCAGTTTCAGCTATGTAAAAGGCTTAGTAAATCCTTTTGGCTTGCTCTAGGCCCCCAGAAACAGCTAAGAAATATGAACACTGTGCTCAAGAAATCAGAACCAAGGCCACCTCATTACACCCCTAAGTGTCACTCCTCACAGGCATATATTAATCCTGCAATGTGGCAACACAGTGAAGAATTATTTACTTCCCATTAAAATGTAGGGGTACATTTCAAGACAGAAATGGGTCCTCACTGTACCTGTGTTTTCCCTTGCTGACCATAAACAATTTTAGTTGGGATGATTTTGGTGGCTGGCTGGACCGTGGACCCTATTCCTTTTGGCTGTGTAACAATCATTTTTGTGATGGGTCTTGTGGCAGTGATGATAGCAGGCTTTGCTCCTGCTGGTACCGCCTGAATAGTTTTCTCCCCCTGTAGAGAAGTCAAAGTTTACAGGTTAACTTAGTGAAATTCTTCAGAGACACTCACTTCTCTAAAAAATAAAAACAACCAAAAAAAATTGCACAGTTATAGGCGAGTGTGTTGTACCATGACATCAACCTGCTGCGGCAACGAGACTTATTTGATACAGAAAACATTCGAAGACCAAGAACCAAAAACCCTATGGCTTTGAAAAACTACCAAAATCCCCTTTTCCATTACTTTACCTTTCAAGCAGCTCTGAATGGGTGAACAAAAGTAACCAAGCTGACAAACTTTTTCAAGTTGCTTCAAAGAATTTACGTAAGTTGGAACCTTCCTCAAATCCTTTGCAAATATTTTTTAAAACCTCTTATTTCTATTAGCGCTAACTTTGGCAAGACATCTACAAAACTTGAACTGAGGTTTCAAAAAGAAATTATTTAAATATAGATCTTTGTATTATCCTCATGATCAAATCATTAATTACGTATGGACTTTTTTTTTTTTAAACTAGAAGTTCACTTAATAAAAAAATGCAGATTCACAGCTGTTTCACAAGAAATATTTGACTGTGGAATAGTGCTGACATACTAGACCCCTGATAGCTTAAGAAGAGCAAAGACACTGAGCATGCTTTTTCATAGCTCTGCACAGTAACAAACCAGATGAGGAACCAGATTAGTTGCCAGTTCTCCCAGTATTCCTACCAATTTTCATCAAGTAGCTGGAAATCCTAAGAACCACGCTTGTTTCCGAAACAGCATCACACTCTGGTGGTTCCTACTGTGTGACACCATGAGATTTCCTCTTGTCTGAAAACACAGCTCTAAGTTTTGTAAACTAGGGAAGTTCAGAATCTTAAAAAAAAAAAAAAATTCCTAAAAGGTTTAAAAAAAACCCCCTCCCTGCTCAGCTCTGCTACTCAAGCAGACTTTAAAAGATTACATGATTAATGCGTTAAATCTCACAGTTCTGTCTAGGAACGTAAAGCACGTTCATCATTTTTATTTACTAGCACTTATAGGTAAACCCAGTAGAAGCTGGAAACTTTATTTTGTTCTTAGCACACATCAGGTTATCCAAAAAAATAATTCAACACTCCACAATACTCGGGGACAGGATGTTACAGGGTTACACACCACAGAAATTGAAAGGTGGTGCCCTTACTGTGAAGGGACAGTTTATTTCTGTCCTTTACATCCAGAAGATAAATATTTGGAGATGCAAGTTTCTAATACAGGACCATGGTTCTCATTAGAGCACAAAACAGGGTAAAATTATTTTCTTCTACTTAATCCCTTCAGGATTACAAAATCATTAACCATGGAAAAAAGGCAAGCTCAAGAGTTTTTATTTCCCTTTAACTTTGAGAACATTCCTGGCTTGTTTTAAGCATCTTTCATATCCTGCAAAACATACTTGCTTTTCAAACACCCCTAACATTCAGAAATGCTCTATCTGTTAAGGAGCTCATGCACAGTTTTCTTTTAATAGGGACTTTAGCAGAATGAATGCAGCAGCCACTGCACAGCCTGTCACTTGGCTGTCGATTTGAGACTTGAAACTCATACTTACCCCAGCATTCAACAGCGTTGTGACAACATTTTTGCCTGGAAGCCCTTGAATTGTAGTTCCTTTCCCAGTAGTCTTCTGCACAACAATCACATTGGGTTTGGATGTCATTGGAATGGTAGTGATTTTGGTTGTAGTTCCTAAATTTTTTTGTGGGAAAAGAAATAATGTGCAGTTTATCACACGTACATTTCCTTTCACTGTAGGAGGTAGTGAGCTAAATAGGAATCATTGTGTTTAAATCTGAGAGCACAACAACAACAAAAAAAAAAGGGGCAGCAGCTGGAATGGGAATTTATGTCACCTAACTCAACATACAAAGATTAGATGCCCACTCTACAAATCTTTCACCTACAGTAAAAACAGGTATGCCCAGGACAGAGTAATCTACTCTATATTAGGAGAGTCAGCCCCTTCTCACAGATTACGGAGCAGACTAATACAGCTTTCTCAGGCTAACGTGTCTAACTTTTCAAAGGCTAGAATTAGGGAGGGGGGGATAAGGACACCAACTAATACTCAACTCAAGGTCCTATTTGCACAGACAAATATTCTTCTACAGATAACCTCTGTAGAAGAATCTACGTACCAAGAACGTATCTCCGGTCAAGAGAAATACCAGCTCTTTCTGGCACTGAACTGTTGTAATACAAGTGATGAGTAGTGGATTGAAAGAAGGAAAAAAAGAAAAAATATGCTATTGTTTTACAATTGGTTCTTAAAAGCTGAGTTTAGAAGTGGGGGGGAGGTATTTATTTTTTTTTTTTTTGAAGAGCTGCGTTGGCTATTTCTCTTTTTCTCCCAGTATTTAATTAGTTGCAATGCCTGTATCAGGTTTTTATTTACCTGCAGCGACAGGTAATTCTGGTCAGCCCTCCACGTTCTACAAGAATACCTACATTGATACGCAAGTCATCAGTGTTATCAGACTGCCATTCAGTATCTACTCAGACAGCTTTTTATCGACACCTTCCACTTTCTCCTTGAAGAAAGTATCACTCAGTCACAGCAGAGCTGCAAACCCAAGGAATCCCCTCACTACTTTCTACCCTTTAGATACTTCACTACATATTTCAGATTAAGAATTCTACTAATTCTGGGAAAGGGAAGATATGCTGAGACAAGATCATGACCTACTTAATTCTAGTGACTTCAGAGGCATATAAAGACTGCTCCCTTAGCAAAAAAACAAAACCAAAAAAAAACCCCAAACCCCAATCCCCCCAAAACCCACCAGCCCCAAAAACCAACCCAAAAAAACCCCACCACAAAAAAACAACAAAAAAAGCAGGCATCCTTTCCAAACTTGTGTTGTTTCAGGACAGTCATTATTACCCAAGCCAAGGGTTTCCCCACATTATAGAATCATAGAATCATAGAATGTTTTGGGTTGGAAGGGACCCCTAGAGGTCACCCAGCCCAACCCCCCTGCAGGAGCAGGGACACCTTTAACCAGATCAGGTTGCTCACAGCCCCGTCCAACCTGGCCTGGGATGTTCCCAGGGATGGGGCCTCCACCACCTCTCTGGGCAACCTGTGCCAGTGTTAGCTGGTGCTCAGGAGAATACTACTTGCGTTTGTGTATAAACTCACTAGCAGATCTAGAAATCTTCTTAACAACTCACCATACCCACAACAGGCTAAAAAAGTTACTCGTTCCCTGTATCAGCCCTAAATATAATTCTGTAGAAATCAGGATCTGAAAACCTGAGGTACCTCTACCAGACTACACCCCAGAGTTGGTTTATGGGATAGCTTGTGCAGCACCTTCCAGTGACAGGAGCTGGCTGATGCCATGTCAGGTCTTTGCTAAGCACCAAGGAGGAGGGAGACCTTTGGGTAATTTAAAGTTATGACTAGACAGGATGAACAGACCCAGGAGATCTTGCTGTACATGGGCACCTGGCTAGGAAATGCAGCAGACCTCTGCATTAGCACTGTTAAAGTCCAAAAAGATACTAAGAAATTGTGACTGGTGTTGAGTGCGCTTGGTCCCGGTCCTAAAGAGACTCTATGTTTAGAGGCTGAACGGGCAGAGAGCATCAAGACTGGTCAGCAGCCTAACAAAGACAAGCAGGAGGGTTTCTGTGAGGCTGGGAGGAAAAACTTAAGGTAGAACATGGGATGAGAGAAAGACAGGTTGACACAGGTAAAAGAAGAACAAGATAAGGTTGAGACTGCACAGCTGAATTTAACATACATGGTTCATTTTTATTCTGGTGGTTTGCATGTGCAGTGGAATAGAAAAGGGAGCATCCAGATTATAAAATGCTTTAAATTGGGGCTAATAGTTTTCTGATCTTTCTCCCCTCTAACAGAGGGCAACATAGTAGCTCTCCTCCCCCACACTTCTCTTTTCCTCCCAGGCTTCCCGCACATTAGATGCTTCCCTCTCATACACAACCACCACTGCAATCCTGAAGAACAATTTACATCCATAACTTCTACCCATTATTTTCTTCTTCGTCCTCAGCTATTTTTCGTCTGAATTAACTTCTTCTCCAATAAAGTTCCTAATAACTATTTCAGCACGTAACCCACAGAAAAGTCTAAAGTTACTTTTGAAATAAGTCTTAGTACCAAAGTACTTGTATGCCTACCAGAAACAATATTACTGCTGATAATCTTCCCTCCCAGTGTAGCCAGTGATTTTGGTACTACGGTAATGATGCTACCACTTGTAGTTTTCACATAAGTAGCAGCCCCTGGAGTTCCAGCCATCCGAGCCCCTATAGAGGGGCTAACCGTTGGCCGCGTATATGTTGCTTGAGTTCCTGTTTTAAAGAGAGAACAAGAAAATTCGCTGTTAGAAAATGATCCTCTACTATTACAAGTGGAAAAATAAGTTAGTTTAGGGGAAAAAAAAAAAAAAAAAAAGCATTAGATTTTATTCAAAAGAGACCCCACACTACAATTTATTACCACCCTTTACAATTGTCCTAGCACTGTTCAAAGCCACAGAGCAATATTCAAGTATTTACCAACTTTAAATTAAGGTAAGAGTCTTCTGAAGTATTTTACCAAATGTTCAATGAATGCCGTATTTTAATTGACATCCTTGCATCTGAGATTTTAATTTTCAATAGGTGTTTAGATTCTGTCTGTACGTTTGCCACTTGCTGCCTTAGATGCCCACTACCAGAACTGATCCCTTTCACTGTTAAAAGTCAGTTATACTCTCACTTCTCCTATATGACAATTTGGTTATAAAGATCACCACCGATGACTGGTCTAAATATCACTCCAAGAGGAAAAATATGATTTACAAGGATAATGCAATTTTATGGATTTAGCATTTAGCAGTACAAAAAGAAACCTCCTGACATGATATAAATGCTGTTTTTTCAGACCTACGCTTTCTCAGAATGGAAACAGAGCTGAGTCCACAAAAGAAACTTACTCAAAATAATAATACGAGTCAAGAGGTACACAAACATCGTAATTCCATTCTGCTTCTACTGCTGCAGATAGCGCACTACAACCCTTAATTGCTAAAGATCACAGAGCAAAACAGTTTGTTGCAACAGGAAAGCCATGTGTTCAAATCCAAGAGAGCACAATCCAGGCTTTACCAATTCTTTATCAATTAAATGAACTGCAAAACTACTAGATTTTTTTTTTATCTACTTAAGAATGTTTTTGTGAGGTACTTCAAAAGTTAAAAAAAAAAAAAATTAACCATTAGTTTATGCTAATATTCCCAAACCATGCTAAAAATTCAGGAAGTTAATTAAAGTTTTCTGAAGACTAGGATAAAGCTGCCTTTTAAGTTTTACTCATACAAGTTTGCAATCTGAACAGTCTGCAGGATTTCTGATCTTTAACCAATAAGAAAACACAAATACAATTAGATCCCCAGAAAAACACTGGGAGTTTAAAAACTCTACTGGCCTTTTTATAAGTTCACTGCAGGACTATGAGCAAGTCACCTGTCTTTCAAAGTCTATGTATGTAAAATAGGAATGATGCTGACCTATCTGTTTGAGGTACCTAAAAAGTTAAATTGATGTAAATCATCTAATAAAAGGTGCTACAGAAGTGCAAAGTATCAGTATAAGTTGCAAGACAACTTCCCTTGAAATAAACCCAGTGGGGAAGGAACAAGTGTATTTTTGTGTACCAATTCAAAAAGATCATAAGAGGAATAAAAGAGCACTCTGCAAAAAAATCCTAGAGTAACAACAGGATTGTGAATGTGCTGTTGTGCTCACTGTTCACAAGACAGAAGTGCTTTTTCTTTTACCCTAATAAACCACATTTGATCACCTGTATGTCTGGGTTTACCCTCCCTTCCCTTCTCAGAGCCATAACTTACCAGTGGGAGTAGTGACCAGTTTAGTTGTCATGATAGTCCCATTACTGCTAACCACCATAATAGGTGAATTGCTACTGCTGGGCAAGGTCGCTGTAACTGGTTTGGGAAGGATTTTACTGGGCTGCACCTGTTGAGTGATTATTTTAACACCTAGGAAAGGAGAAAGGTCACTGTTAAAATACAGGCACGAAAAGTTAACTTTCTGAAATGCTTTCTCAGACCAAGCCCTAGTGGGCAAGTAGCCTCACAGGGCTTCTATTCTGAGCCCATGCATTCTTGATCCTGAAAAGAATTTTTTTTTTTTGTTTAGGTAGGTTTTGGTTTTTTTTGCTTGTGGGTTTTTTACTTGTTTTGCAAATAACGAGACAGTCATCATCTTTGCCTTTCATGTGCCTGTTTCAATTTCTGTCTGCTCCCACTGAGGCATAGGATTCAATTCCATCATCAACCTGTTGTAGTGATTTTTAACCTTTTCTGGTCCACGATTCAAAAAATAGAATGTTTCCCAGGAACCAACAGGTTACAACCAATACTGAATTGGTTCACATACAATGAACCATCTAAAAATGAAACAGTTGTTCATCAATTTAGTCTGTAAATTCTTATGTGTCTTAATTAGCTTAGTTGAATTTCATCCCTCTGAATAAATTAAAAACCCCCACCTTTCTGCACAAAGAGTATTAGTGGGTGTAAGGAAGTAACTGTGACACTGGCTAGGGAAGGTTGCTTTAAGTAAACTGCTTTCTCTCCTAATGATTTATTGGTTGTCTTGAAGCCACAAAGGAATTGGGCTGAAACAAGCTCTGAGTAGAATCAGCAAGAACAAAAGATGAAGACGGACACCTTAGCACAGCAAGGATTCTGTTCCCTCTCTCTCGAATTCTGTAGAGGAATGGACCTCTGCGAGATTCACTTCTCAGTTGCAAACCAGGAGATTCATGTCATCTGTTCAAAAGTATATTCAGGACACTTGCATCTTTACATTCTGTTCCATGACGAGGTAAACGTATTGCATTGTGTTGGTCAAACGCCATGAAACGCACACCCTGAACTAATCCCATCTAAACGTAGGCACTTACATTTGTACACAAGTATTTCTGGGTGAACAATTCTGTCTGCTGGGGATGTGAAACATCCTCCTCCACGTTTGCTTCTTTCTATGTTGACTACAAAAGCAGTACGGAGCAAGTAAGCTCCTAACTTAAATAATGAAGTTAGGAAAGAGAAACCGAAGCCTTTGCATCATCTAGACACAAAACTGGATAAAAACCAGTCTCTGTGAAAATTCATTCACATCTTCCAAAAGAATAGGTATCAGATGCTATTTCCAAAGAATCTTTAACTAAAAAGATCTTTTGAGCCTAAACCCATGGTAGAAGGCAAGGAGTGAAGCTCTTATTGATCAATTATTGCTCAGCGACTGTAGGAGGGAGGCCTCTTATCTGTCTTCATTAGTGGGTATTTTTTCTTAGGCAATGATCCTATAATCCAAAAGGAAGTTTATCAAAGGACAGGAGTAGGGCTGCTTATTTTTTCATTCTAGGATCTATTTTAATTCTTTGATCTAAATAGTATGATTATAAAATAGTAGCTGTACTGGTATCATCAATATAAAATACAGACACAAAAATACTTTGCACTTTTATAGCACTTCTTCCTTCAGAGTTAGGTAACTTTGCCGGCATTACTTCTTACTACATCTGACGGAGCTAAGAACTGTATTCTACAGCAGAGTAAAGCCAACATAGAAAGATTACATGACTTGCCCAAAGTCAAGTGAATGAGTCAATTCTTACAAAAAGAATCCAGTCCAACTTCCAGTCTCAGATCTAACTGTATTTGTTTTGACAAGTACCTCAAAAGTAGTTTTTTCTGGACCCAAGAAAATAATTAAAACATGGATTAAGTACTTCTTCCAGTTGATACAGTTGAACAGCTCTTGGATCTTCAGAAAACTGGTGCCTTCCACGTTGCCAAAGACATTATTTTTGAAGATATTTACATACCTTTCAATCTCTAAAGATAAAACATTTATTCCTAAAGCATGGTCTGTATACCTGAACCAAACAAGAAGGGTGACAGAACCAAATTCTTCAATTATTGATAGCTGAACACATTAAGACACCCTTCAATATATACTTCTATCCAGGTTTAATGCCAAATCCTGTAGGTGAGTAATTATACCTTAATGATAGCTCCCCATGCACATTTTGGTACAGAATTCTACCCTACTTCCTTGAGTTGTGGTTAGACCTCAACAATCAGCAATATGACCCAAGATTAACTCCAACTACCTGATTCCTGTTTGATCTGAATGGTGGGCTTGATGCCAGGCGGCAACTGAGATTGCTGCGGCTGCTGTTGAGCTACAGAAGACTGCACCAGCTGCTGTTGTTGCTGCTGCTGTTGTTGTTGTTGCTGTTGTTGTTGTTGTTGCTGTTGCTGCTGCTGCTGTTGGGCCTGTTGTATTTGGTGCAGCTGCTGTTTGGGGGACTGCTGATGCTGTTTGGGAAACTGTGCTAAGATCTGAGTTGGATTCCCAACCAAACCTTTTGGGGAAGGTAGTCTGGTAGAGGCAACTTTAATTGCCGATGTAGACACACCTGTGAAAGAGTAAACGGTTTAAGATCGAACAGCGCAACATGAGAGGAAAATATCACCATTTCTTAAATAATTTTACATTTAAACTGTCTTTACTACTGAAAGATGCCTAGATACACATGAGTAAAACCAGCTCCCACATAGCAGAAGTGCTCTGTCCAGAGGCAAGGGAGTTTATATAGATTTTCAATGCGGCAGCAGAACAGCAGCTAATGGAAAGACCACAATCCCAGTCTACTGCCTGCACCTTTTGTAGTCCAAATAATTCACAAATATTCTCAAAGCCTGATCTTTAAGCTTCAAGAAAGCAAAATATTTATAGTGAAAATCATGACTACAAAAAGTTAGAATATGAAAATGACAAATATCAAACCCATCAACATCAGAATGGAGGACCCGTTAGCAAGCACAATGTTACTTTAAAAGAATGAATCAAGTAATGGTACGTAATTTCGAAAACTATGTAACACACTTTTTTTGTGCTGATAGGTTGGGTGATCTTACAAGTGATTAAAACAAGTTTGCAGATTTATTCGCTCCCAAATAAATCTTAATATTCATTTCTGTCATTCGCTTACATGGCTGTACCTACATTTCCAGCAAAATTTGGCTTCATCTATAATTCTAAACTGCATATCCATAAGCACCAAAAAAGACAAACATAAAGTCCATGTCTTATGAAGGCAGTTTTTAACCAAGACCCAGCTGTAGGGGAAAATAGAAAGAATATCTCCTCTCTTATTTCTCTACATGTACAGATGGCAGTGATAATGATAGAAATCATCATTAACTACAGTTCTGGCAATCTAAATAAGCAACCCTTTTCTCACTGCATCATCTAAGATGGTTTTTCATTTCCTTAGTCAGCTGTTTTCATCCATGAATTTAACTTTCTTCACATTTGGAATGATTATCAGTTTATGTCATAAACAGTTTCACCAGCATCCTCTCCAATGACACAGATAGTCTTGGAAAAAAAAAGCTGTTAAAGAGACATTCCATCTGACATATTTTAGAATTATAGCCTCTTCCATGGTCAAACCCAACTAAAAATCCACAGTTCAAACAACAGGAAATTCTGCTGTAAGCCCTTGTGCTCTGTAGATTAGTATTTTCAGGACCTGATTAATATGGATGGCAAAATATCTCCTCAGCCTTGATTTGGTTGTTCAACTTTTTGTGGAATGGAACAAGAATGGAAAATATAGACCAGGAAAAATTGCCATGTGACACTTGTCACTGTCACACAGTTTTTCAAGTGCTGCTTGCTGAGGCCCTTTCATTCAGCCTCAGCTTCCCTTCCCAATGTTAGCTAGTGGCTGCGGAACTCAATCAACCAAGCTATCATACATAGCTGGAATCAGAAATCATAAATTTAATCCAGGCCCACTCAGATCTTAATTTTTAAGGACTTTAAAAACTTACATGCTGATAAAATACACAAATGAAAAAGGTGTAAACACTTCTCTGTCATCAAGATTAGTTACCACAAGACATCTTCTAAAGATTAGGCACGTCTTTGCATGGTTTTGTAGATCAGGCTTTAAGAGAAGCAATCATCAAACGTCAGAAACATCCATTTTCCTTGCATCAGATAAGAGTTCTTAAAGCCAGACATTTTGAGGCTGTAGTATTTTAATGCTGCAAGTAAAATCTTTTCAAAATAAAAAAAGCTATGCCACATCATCTCACTACACTCTCTTTAAAAAGAGGACCTCCACATTAATTGGTGAAGTAAAGAGTGAAAGAGTTGAACAAGAACATTTGTGGAGTATCTTGGATTAGTTTCATCAGTAGACTTCTTTCACATCTCCTGTGCTTTACTCATGATATGTAAACGTAAAGTGCATCTCCCCTAGGCTACTCTCAAAAGTCCAATTCATCAGTGAAAGAGCTTTTAGAAATGTAATGTTATTGCCATACCTTGTGCTACTGTTGACATAACCACTGACGGCGTTGATGATACCACAGCAGTCACAGCAATAGTATTTGCAGTACAGGAGGGAGTGGAACAGCTACTGCTGCTGCTGCTACTGACCAAAGAGGACTGAGAAGCAGTTATAACCACTGGCTGCTTTTGAGTAGTTGAAGCAATGACTGATGTTGGGACAAGTTTCGTAACTGCTGCATAGTTGTGGGACTTTGAAAGGATGTTGGGTACAAAAGTTGAGCTTGGAGAGGTGGTTACTATTATCACCTGGAAGAAGAAAGAGAACAACAAGAAATTCATTTGTTCTTTGCATTTATTTAAAAGCATAACATTTCAGCAACGTATCTGTCTATAGGTATTTTGTTTTAGGGATGCAGGTTTACCAAGAGTGTCGTATTCACATTTACTGGCAACAAAAGCTTTCAATTAATTTGAAGAAGTGGTTATAAACATTTCCTTAAACTCAGAAGGTTGTTTGGTTTTGGGTTTTTTGAGGAAAACAATTACTATCTAATTGAAGTAGAATCATCTCATGTCTGAGGGCAAACAGACAGGAATGAACTGCTTGGCTTCCTTAAACTGGGCCAGGAAGCCCGAAGCCCATTTTAAATGGAACTGAAAGGAAATCCCCAAGCAAGTTTAAACACCATTCTCCCAAACCTTGCACATACATCAAGAAAAGGCAATGAGAGAATAGATGATTTATTTTTTCTCTTTAACAATTAACAAGCAGTTGCTGAGTCAGTAATGGGAAATATTTTTGATCCATAAGGCTGTAAACAATCAATATTTCATCAGTGAAAAACGTGGATTAGGTTTAAAGCAACTTCTCCTTTAATTAGTGCTCTCAATAACAACAAATTCTTTCTTATCTCTCTGAAAACCATTTGTCTAAGGACTATAAACATTACCCCTAGTGACAGTTACAATTGCAATGCCATGAGTCTGATTTGACATAGAAAAACACAGAATTCATTATAACATTGGAAGATGTCTGTTCTTATGCAACTGACCTAGAAAACTAAGCACTTAAGTATTGAATATGGGGACTATTTATGTAAAGATATTGCTTTTATTCTGCTCGCATGTACCTCCTTGTACTTACAAACACACAGTTAAAATAGAAACACACAGCACAGAAATACAACATATTTTCAGTTTACCATGCAAGAATATTGAGAAATTGTTTTAGTAATGCAATTCTCCCAACAAAAACTTCATTTATTAAAACTTTGAAAATTAAAAGTTATTAATGATTTGATGTAACAAAAGCAGATAGAAAAAAAGGTACAGAAGGAATAAAGAAAAGGTGGGTCAGCTGAAACCAAAAGTCTGACGCTACTACCCACAGACTACTGAAATCTTGCCTGACAGAAAAGATATAATATGATAATGGCACCAGAAATAGACTTAAGTGACAGATCAAGCAGTATGGGATTAAGTTTGTAATTTGTTTTAAAAAATAAAAACATAACCACATGGATGGAATAAAAACGGCAAATTTCACCACCGTGGCTGTTTCTGCCTCTCCTTTCCTGCCAGTGCTGAGTTTTACGGTCCCTGCCTTTAATATCTTGATTTGAGGAAAACCAAAACCTTACTACCTCCATGAGCTACAGCAGGTTGGCCACAACTGACCAATGCCCAAAGGACAAGGTTTCCACGTCTGCTGCTCTACCGCTTCATTGCATTCTCCAGGGAGAATGTTTTCTCTGAGTCACTCTTATTTTTGCCTTCTGCCCAACCTTGCTTTAATCAAAACACCCTTCTGAAATTGCTCTTAGGCTATGACCATGCAGACAAGCTAAACACGACAGAGCTTGATTCTGGTACAAGGTTTGCGGGTGGAAAGATCCTATGATGCCTCTCTGGAGCTTCATCCTGTTTCTTAAATAGCCAGTTAACACTAGAAATACTTCCCAAGCGTCTGAATTTTAGGGCCAGCTCCATTCCACCTAGGATAACTTCTTCAGGAATATAATCAAAGGACAACTTGCAGTTAAAAAAGGCAGATTGTTCCTGTTAAACTTCCTATAGAATCCATAACGCAACAGGGCAAGTTCAGCATCTCAACTAAGCAAGTAAAGATACGTAGGATGAACCTGGGCATAATCACAACACCTGGACACCATTGCTCTTTGTTCAAAGACAGAGATAAAACCATCAGTCCAAGATTATCACTTAATAACGCTTTATTTCATCGTGCAAAGAAGAAAGCTTGTAAAGCATTGTAGTTCAACACTGATTGCCGTCCTGTGACTAAGCAGGTTTGGGTCTCTCTATTCTGTTTTTTTTTTTTTCCAAAATTAAAACAGCAGAACAAAGTCTAGTGATCTTTATGTGTGAAGTATACCCAGGAAACAGAATTTTTGGGGAAAAATGTAAAAGCCTTAAAGCTCAAATCACAACAATTATATTTTTGAGATACTATTTTCTCAGATATGTTGAAATGATCCAAGTAACCTCATAATAGGTACCAAAACTGCATCACATCTTTTACAGCAGAGAGACTGCCTGATTAAAAAAAAAAAAAAAGCAAAAAAAAAAAGCAAGTTCAACAACTGTTGTTGTTGATTTCAGTTGTTAAGGTAAAAATTAATTCCTGACATACATTGACTTTAGTCCTGCCAGCTCTATTTTGAGAGACGTCAAAACCTAGGCCCTGAAGACATAAAGGCATTAACTGCCAGAAGCTTCGCTAGCTAGATTCCTTCTGTGTCCCAGGCAGAGGACTTCATTATAAGAGAATCCAGAAATTGGAGCTGTGACATTATTAGTTGTTACGACAAATCTTCCTCCAACCTACTAAAATGTCAAAACAATTCAGAAAGCTGGCATACAGAAACGAAGACTTTTCATTCATACCCAACAACTTCACCCATATCCAACAGCACTTGTTTAAAATAGTACATTTCCAATCTGAGTGTAACAAGTCTGACATTTAATTTAAAACTACTAAGAGGGATTTCTCCCACCAAGATGATCCAGTTACATATTTTGGCATATCTAAATCCAACAAAAGAGGGCAGTGTGACAAGTTCAGATACAAACGCTACCATGGCTCCCTAACGAAACAAGTCATGATTTTCCTATCATTGCAGATTAGTAAGAGAGTCAAATAATACTGTGCAAAGTAAACCCTAAAATTTCCACGTCAGAACAAGCAGAGGTGCAACTGCAGAAAAGACCCTACAACAGCCCATTCTCTTCTTTTTTGAGATTTAATACACTCCCTCTTTAAACTACCATGATACGTGTCACTCATACTTAATACACCACCACAGACATTTAAGGCAAAAATAATTCTTCCTGCATGCAAGATGAGCCTGGTAAGAGCAACAGGATGGGTAGGTTAAGCTCTGTCCTAGCTGTGGATTTGCTGCACTGAATGCAGGAGATTTTATTTGATGGTTTATGCTCACTCATGAATTTCTATACATGTATTCAAAGATGAAATTTGATTAAGGACACTGCTAAGGAACAGTGAATCAAATTAAAGCATCGAAGACCTCTGAAGTGGGAAAAGGCCAGAATGCAAGTTCTTTATTGCACATTACTTCAGTTAATCTTCCTTGGTTTTAAAATTTCCAAAAATCAGGACATGGGAACTCTGCTAATCCAAATAGAGTCATAAAACAATTAAAGACGACCAACAGAACAAATACTGTGTGAAGGTTTGAGCTCAATATTCAACTGTCACAGTTGGAAAAAAAAAAAACCGCTTGTTAGTGCCCAGCCTACCATCAGTCTGTCGGTATCAAGGCCAAATTAATTCCACAGACCACCCTCCCCAAGTCTGCCTTAATTAATAACCGTACCAAGAATGAACTTCGTCTGAGCCATTAATCTTTTTTTAAATCTTAAGAACAAACAAGTAGACACATCTGAAATGCTTCCTAAATCATGGGAAAATAGTCAAGCTATCGATTAGGCACGTAAAATCCGAGTGCAATACAAAATTTCAGCACGGAAAACCTTTTCTAACCACTGCATTCTGGCGAAAGCTGGGCACACTCAGCTGAAATAATGCAACTGATTTTGATCGCTGTAACACTGATAATGTAGAATGAGAAATGGCACACTAGTACTGAAAGGAAAATAAAGCCCCCCAGTCTTTGATCAGCTCTGAGAATAAGCTTTATAGACCCAAAAAAAACTAGTCTCTAGACAAAAGGCTTGGCAAGGGAAAGCCCACGCCACCTCTCCTGGAATTCTACTACTGCAAAGAATAATTATAAATAAGGAAAATAGAAATAAGAAAGATTACCTTTGACCAATAGTTGTTACCATCTGAAGGCTGTTCAGTGGCCTATGTGATCCAGTTCTCAGTGGACTAGTGTCCATATCACAAAACCCAACACCACAAATGGTACTAACTGGCAACCTTGTTGGCAGTCTCACCAGAGAGGCCAAGAATTGAATGAGCATGGAGACTGAATCCCCTCTCATCCCTAGAAGTGGTCCCTTCAGGTCAGGGTTGAGGCACATTGGTGGGGCAGTCTGGGGGAAGCTTGCACTCCCGCTGCCTGTGCTGTACCTGTTCTGTGGATAAAAAGAGGGCTTCAGTCTCCACGGCTGTCAATCCAGGTCCTTTCACACACAGGTGAACTAAATTCATACAAGAGTTTGGTTTTCTCTTTGTTCGTTTTAAAGAGGGATTACCTTATCCCAAGTGCAATCCTTAAAAAAAACAGCTAGACAGTTCATAGAAAGAAGAGAGTCAAACATCACATCTTATTCATTGATAAAACCAGAATAAAGTAACATTTGGCAGCTTCCCCCACATACCTTCTGTGTTGTCGTGTTTGTTGTCTGTGTTGAGGGCTTAGTGAAGGTTATTTTCACAGGCGACATGTGTGGTGGTAAGGAGTTGGCAATGCTCTGCATTATATTACTCATCTTGGGGCTGCCACTTACAGGCACTGTGATGGTTTTTGTGACAGGAGTCACTGCCTTCGGGACTTCTTTCAGGAGAACAGGGGAAGAACTAGAAGAATTTGTTCGCCGTCTTTTGCGGGGCTTTTCATCGTCATCTGAGCAGCTGACACCTAGAAGAGAAGTACTTTTTCTAAGTTATATTTTCCCCATTTGCACCTCTCAACGCTTCCTAAACCACTTTAAACTTGCTGAGTCTTATACCGACTTTCAAATAAGAGAAAAAGAAATAGCGGATAAATTCTTTCTCATGGTCACAACTAACCTGTTTCCCACCACAGATGGTCTTTGTCCTTGATATAGACAACACTTAAAGTGCCATAAAGCAAAGAAACAAACCCCCAAAACCCCAAGCTACTCAGTTACTGGGTTACTTCATTCAGTTTAAGAGATTAAAAGAACGTTAAGAGACAGCACAGGGATTTCATTCTGTCTCTAGAAGTTTGACCAACGAGACCACGCACACAAGGGGTTTAGGATAACGTCATGCGCATTGCAGTTTAAAACTTTACATTACACTGTTCCCGCCACTGGTTTTCTTTACAGCAACTGGACTACTGAAGTTTATCCTCCTGTAGCCTTCTCCGATTTCAACTTTTGTACCTACTTCCACGCCACGCTTATCGCTACAGTACCCTTCTCCCTTTCACTTCAACACAGCATCTTGAGATCCCTTTTTTATTTTTTAATGACGTACTTTAACTATGAAGGTCAAGCCTCACGTCATCACCTTCTGCCTTGCTCAGTGCGTTTTGGGCAACAGATATAAAATGGCACCTAACGCACAACAGTGAAAACCAAAAGAAGTTCGGCCTCAAAGGAGTTCAATCTTACTCACAATCATCTACTGCACACATATAAAAAAAAAATAATCTGCTGCAATATATTCAGCTGAGCAAAGGATAGCAGCATGATCCACGGGTCTTAAATCCATACAAAATTTTCCAAAGTAGGCAACAGGTTCCTTAATTGGTATACATTACAGAAAGACACAGTTTAATAACCTTGAAAGTCTCTTACAGCTACTGGGTAGCATTTATGTTCACCGAATTGGGCAGTGTTAAACAATCCTTAAAAACAGAGATAAGCTGAAAAGACGAAATCACCCCTATGCAGAACAAGATCGAAGATCTTGTTCTGTATGCCTGGGGCTTAAAGACAAAAACTGCTGTCACGGCAAAAAGCAGACTTGCTGGTAACCCAAGCAAACTTGGTTGGCAGTCAATCTCTAATTAGGGTCAAGATCTCATTATGGTCAATCTCTAATTAAAATTACTAAGTACTCTGGCATTCGAAAAGTGAAGACGCGGGAATTAACACGGACAAGAAAGTGCCCAGTAGCACAGCAAGCGATTTCTGAAAAAGGGGATTCTCTCTTAGTATGAGTACCAGCTCATTTGCAGGTACTCTTCAGAAGGCTGACAGTCGTATCCACACAAAGATGGGAGAAGCAAAGGCTCTATTTTAAGTTTGCTTTGAACTCCAAAAAAATAGTTTTATCTGGCTGCAGCAGGACAGACGAAGCACGGATCTACGAGTCCGGATTTCAAAGCTCTAATCAACAATTTACTTTACGGCCCTGAACAAGCCTAGCGGTCAGCTCCATCTATAAAGCAGAGATTTGGTTACATGACTTTAAGGTCTATTATGAACAGGCTTTTAAGTATTACTGTGAGTGCACTACGCAAACTTCTAACTGCGAGGTCACTAATCACGTTGAAAACGTGCAGGAATTTCAGAATCTCAGAATCCATTTGAATCAAAAATCCACATGCAGCTAGGATGTTAGGACACAGATGTTATTGCGGTGGATCACCAAGAAATACCAAAGGGAAAGCTATTTGTTTGTGGGCTTCATCCACAGAAAAAACAAAACAAAACAAAAAATCAACACAGAAGAAAGAAAGATCAAACTAGCAGAACATTATTTTGTGTTAAGCACAGCTCGTTCCACCTCCTGTTTTTGCTGCTGGGGTTCTCCAAGAACGTTATTCCTACAATTTCATCTTAGAACCTGCATTTGCACAAAGTTTTCCACAAGCATTTAGATGAAAGGTAATACAGCTCGACTGTAACTCCCACTGGACAAGCAAGGAAGCAGAGGCACGGAGGGGTTAATGGCTCAGTCAGACTGTGACTTGGATGAGGTCACAGATTGTAACTCAGGCCTCTCCGTTTGCTCTTAAGCAGGTTTGTTAAAGCTAACGTGACTGATAGAACACATTCTGAAAGACACACGATTCCTTAAAAAATAAACCAAAAAAGAACAAAATGAAGCATGCGAAGTGAGGGGAAAAAAGTGAAATCTAGGGACGGACAGAATAAAAATGAGAACCTTTCATCCCTCTATTGTGCGTCTAGACTGGTTTTATACTCATTACCATGTAATAATTCAACAGAGGTCTAAATTAAATTTTGAAGAGGTTAAGAACATTTTCCCCTGAATCTTTAAACTAAAGCTGAATGATTAGTGCATTAAATCAGAAAACCGAAAAAACTTAATGTAATGGGTTCCGTGGGTTGATACAGCCATTAAAGCTGGTGGTTTGCAAGTAACATTATATTTATGTACAACGTGATGTTTCTGACTAGCTAGCAGTTTAATCAAACATGCACACAGAGCATCAAGATTAAAATATTTTTTTAAAATATTAGAGGTATCTGCAGCAAGCATAAAAATAGCACTCATCAACTTTATTTGCCACCTGCATTTTGAGAGACACCAAATAAGGACAGAAGGAAATATTTTTAATTATTAAAGAAAACTACCTTTGAGGATCTGGGCATGAATACGAGGATGTATTCTGCTTTTAGAGCTAGCTGATTTATTAGCCAAAGAAAGAAGGGGGGGGGAACACGACAAGAAAAATGATTGTTTCTAGACCTTATGCCCTGGATTTGCAAATTTAAATACATGAGGATGGGTATCTGGTGGGATTTCATATGGACTTTTCACAGCTGCCCAGGAAGGCAAACCTCACTAAGATTCACTTCCAAATAAATCACAAAATGGCCAGACACAGTTAATGTAAGCATATGCTTGCCAAACTACTGTACTGTAAGAAAGTCCAGGTCAACTGTGAAAGTGGAAAGAAGGGACCTTTTCTAACTCAAATAAATGACTGCTGTGCAATATTTAAACAGAAGGAAGAGGGAAGCCCTCTGCAGAAGCAACCAGCAGAGCTACCTTAAACACAAGTTCTGAACAAGCTGGATTAGAAATCCACTGATACACAGCAATTCCTATATTTTATTTTCAAAATACTTTTCACTCTTGTTGTCCTTGCCATTACTGTTCCCTGCAGCATTTTACCGTCAGTGGATTTATCCTGAACACAATTTCTCTGAAAAAGGGAAGCAATAAATTCATTCTTTAGACTAAATGAAGGCATAAAGGCATTAAATGACTTGCCCAAGGTCAGAGTGTTTAATTCAGTCCATGCTTCAGCCACAAGACTGTCCCTCTCTTTCC